AGCTGAGGACCGAAATTGTCTGGCAGTGATTAGCCAAAGCCAGAGAGCAGTGAGTAACTGAAATGAGTTGGCTTGTCCTGCTCTGTGCAGAGTAGTTGGGGGCTGGTGTGAACACATGGCTACAACATAATGTTTCCTCCATTTTCTTACTATTTGTGATGAGTCATTTGTAACCCCCAGTGCATCCTCTGTTGGCCCCAGCCTTGGGGACAGGGCTCTGTCACCACTGGTGTGGTGGGGAGATGGCTCCAGCTGAGCAGAGGGAGGTTGGGGGAACGTCCAGGGCATCTGTGTCCATGGGCACCCCTGGAGAGCATCAGCCCCTGGGCCAGGTGAGAGGGGCCGGGCACATGCCACTGAGGCTGACCAGGGTCCCCTGATGCTCAGGAGCATTTGGATTCAAGGAGAAGGGAGGGCACTCGTCCTTGGGCTCCTGCAGTTGTGTTGGGAGCACTGTGGTGGCCATCCCTGCAGACTGTGGGAGCTGGGAAGGGAAGAGTGTTGGCTTCCCTTCCACAGTACTGGGGCTCATCCCACCTGCATTGTGGAGGGGGCAACGAATTGCTGGGGTGATTTGGCTCTCAGAGAGAGAATGCTGAGGTGCCTATTTTAAGTTTCTTCAAAGGAAAAAATTAGTACATATGGTCATAGGAATGATAAACTTTCCCTGCAGAACAGGCACTCCCAGCTTGTGGTTTGGTCCCAGCAGATCTTGGCACAGAGGTAGGGCCTTTGACCCCCCCACCCCTTACTCTTTGCTTTCCGCTGCATGTAAAAAGATGTCTCACTTGAGAGTTTTCATGATTTCTGCTGACTTCAGCCACACTTCTCCTGAATTTTGTGTTAAACGAAATCCCATTCCAGCCTGCCTCTTTGCCATGCTGCACCCACAGCTCTGCCTGTTCCTAAGACATCGTGCTGGCAGGACAGAACTTTTCCCAGCGCTGCCCTTTGCACAGTCTCCTGGCCCTGGAAGGCCTTTGCATATCTCCATGTGGGACATGCCTGATCCCAAATAGAAACCCTTCCATTCCCCAGCGCTGCTGCCTACGGGCTGCTATAAATAACCCCGGGAGCACAGTTCAGCTGCAGCAGCTTTGTGCTGCATGGAGCCATGGCTGGAGTTGGTCCAAGAAAATGCCGCCTCCTAATTTCAGATCCGCTTTCTCAAAATAACTCCCGTGTTTCCTTCTCTTCCATTTTTAAACTTTGCTTTAAGAAGAGCCCACGCAAAATCCCAGACTCTCCCTCTTCTGGTTTCGGATGCTCTCCTGCCTCGTGGGGTCCTCTCGTCATCCCCACGGGAGCTCACATGGCTGGGAAGTTACTTTCCTGCTTGCTTTCCCCCTCCCAAGCCTATTTTAAGTTTCTTCAAAGGAAAAACAAGGGGCTGGAGTTTGCTTTGGAAGCCAAATGTTTTTAGGCGAGAATGGAGATTTTCATAGTCTGCAGGGAGGTTTTTGTTGCTGGCAAAGATCTCTTTAGCTCCAGGCCCGTTGGAGAAGCTTGAGCCAGGGTAAGAGCGTGGTCTGTGTGCTGTGTCCCTGCCTGTGCCCCTGCTTGGGATGAGGGAGGTTCTCTAGGGGCAGGTGCTGCTACCTGCCACATCCACGAGTTCCATTCTGAATCTGTGGGCCCTGCAGTGTTTGTGGTTCAGACGTGTTTCTTGTGGCACCTCACTCCAAAATATGCACTTGGAGGACTGGTATGGGATAGGCTTCACCTCTTCACGTGAGTCGTGCTGAAACGCGCTCCAGAGGAGGTGCCCCTGCCCTCAGAAGTGCCCCTGGTCTGCCCATGCCAGTGCCAAACCCTGAGCTGCTGTACCAGAGCAAAGCACTCTGATGTAAATGGGAGCAAAATTCAGCCTCAGGGCTTTGGTCCCTCCATGAATGGCACTGCTCCAGGGCTGGAGCAGTATTTCAGGATTTTGTACAAAATCAAGAAAAAGGGTCTTTGCCTGCTGGCTGTGGAACTGCAGAGGGACTGTACAACTGGTGGGGATCCTTTTGCATCTCACCAGAGGTAATGGCTCAGGTTTGCTTCCCGATACATTTCTTTCTGTTAAATAAGAGGAACACAGGCATGGGTGGGATCATTCAGCAGATGTAGGATGAACCCTCTGGTTTCCTTTTGCGGGTCCCTCACTAAACATACTCCTAATGAAATCAGTACTGGAACTAAGTCCTAGGTGGCTGTGCCTTCGGAAAGGAAAGGATTTACCAGGGCTGTCACTGGTCTTCAGCAAAAGTCCTGCTGCTGCGGAAGATCTGGTGGGGGCTGCTTTTGCACCGGAACAGTTTGAGGTTTGCCTGAATTCTCCAGTCAGGCTTCTGGCTCACTGGCTCCTTAGGCAGGAGCACATCTCCCTGTGTCTGTCTGTCCTTACGGATGAGCCCCAGCATGGTGGGAACCTTCTGCTGGGTGTTCTGTGTCCTTCCCAATTCTGCCGCCAGCTCTCACCTCGCTCTGCCGGGCTTTTCAGACAGCTCGTTAAGGTTCTGCTATGATCTGATAAATGCAGCAAGGAGCATCAGCAATTACAGTGGGTGTCAAGTGTTAATTGGGCAGCTTTCAAGATAGAGGCATTTCTTTGTGTACGTACAAAGATATGACGTGCTCGGAATAGCTTCCCCTCCTGATCTTTCGTTCTGGAGACGTGTATATTGCAGTCGGTTAATGCAAGACAAATTATGCCATTCTTCTTGATTCGCCACATGTTCTGCCTATGGTGATTTGCCTCTGGCTTGTCTCATTAAGTTGTCTAAACATGGCAAATGCAGCAGCTGAACATACTCAGCTTTTTCTCAAAGTTAATCACATTGTATACATGGGCCTGCAACATCACTGGTCCCTTGCTGTGCCATCCACCTCTGCCAGGGCATCCTCCACCAGTGCTGGTGCCCAGGAGAACAGGCCCATGGTGGGACTGCCTGCCTTGAGTGGGGCTGCAATTTTCTACCCGTAATTATGCTAACTGCCATTAATTGGTTTGCTGCTCTCTGTCCCAGGTATGTGTCAAAATAATTTGGGTAAGCTGATGCTTCCTACTCGCCAGCAACCAATGGCGGGCAGGAGGGCGTTGGCCAAATCACCCCCTTGGCAGCAGATGTAGAGAGGTTTCAGCAGTTTTAATGACCCCCCCTGAAAATCTTGCCCCTTGGTTTTAATTCTGTAAGACTTCTGAATGCCTCAGTGCTGGTGTTCTCCGAGGTCAGCAGATTTTATAGCTTATGGAGACCAAAATATTAAGCTCTGGCTCAGAGAGAGCCATTCTTGTGTGATTAATTTTTCCAAGGGGCAGGTCCCTGGGCGGACTTGGCTCATTCCCATTAACGGAGTCAGGTGGGCAGTGGGAGAAACTTCATGCAGTGATTTTTGAAACCTGTGAACTCCAAGGTCTGCTGTGGGGAGTGCTGCAGATAACAGGCAAGGATGCCTTAACAGTGGGGCTGCTGCCTGCCTCGTGCCTACGTGTGGGGATGGTGCCAGAGTGGGCTCCCTGTGCGGTAACATCTCTCTCAGCCTCCTTGAAGTCGCTTCTAAATCGCAAACAAGCTTTGTGTCATCCCGACCAAACAGTAAATAGAGGAACTGGACATCTCCTGGTCGCCTTGCTGTGGTGAGGCACCTGGTGCAGGCTTTGCAGCTGGACTGGGGCTGGTTTTGGCCAGGGCCATTCGACTGGGGCTGTTTTCCAGGGCGCTGAGCCCGACCGGGGGCAGGGTGACTCACGCAGCTGCTCAGGGCCGACTCTGCTAAAGTGCATGCTGGCAGATCAGACTGTGTGTGTGGGTGTGCGAAGCCCTGGTGAGGTGCTTGCACACCTACAGCTGCATCAGTGCTTCTTGGCGCCGGTGGGGGGTGAGGGTGGACACGGGGGCAAGCAGCAGGGCCGTGTGCCAGCCTTTGGTGAGACATCCCTGTGCTGAGGCCCTGGGAAACTCATCCTGCCCTGAGCCAATGTCAAGGTGAGAGGTCTCTGCTGCAGGAGAGCACTGTGAGACGGACCCCTGGAGCTGAAATCCCTTCCCTGCCCTGGGGGATCTTCACCCAGGGTTTGCCAAGTCCCACTGGCTCTGCCACAAGACCAAACCCCAGCCCTAACCTGCTTCCCAGCCCTGGGGCTCAGCTCCCTGTTTTAGGCGTCTGTGGATTTTCTCTCTCCCCTACCCAAAAATAACTAAAACTACCTATTTTATCTGAACCTCTGAAAATCCATCTCCTTGTCCTCCTCGCTGTCAGGTATTTGGCTTTAACAGCTCAGCCTGTGGTGTCGGCAGTGTGCAGCAATCTGGATTTATCGGACTGTCAGTAACCCCCCTTGAACAGCCTGGCTTTGCGAGGAAATACTGTTTACTGAAAATGTCATCTTTTATTTAGGCTCTTGCTGCAGCCAACCCATGTCTTTTTTTCAGGCCTGTTTAATTAGTAACCACCGCACAGCCCCTGACACGTGTTCCTGGGTGGTTTTTTCCCTTTAATAAGCACTAGGTAGCTTGGCCGGGGGCGGGAGGGGGACGGAGAAGGGCTCCTCTGCGGCAGGGAGGGGAGGGAAGCGAAAGCATGACGAGGAGCCAAGGGCAGCTCAAATCTAAAGATCACATGCTCATGAAGCGATGAATCCTAGAAAGGGCATCTCTGCGTGCGTGCCGGCTTGCCCGCCCTCCTCCTCGCAGGGCGGCCGTGCGGAGGTAACGGGCACGATCCCCCGCCTGGCACCCAGAGGGGTCGGGGATTCGGGTCACTTCCCGGGCAGAGCTCGGATGCATTAAAGTCATGATAACTCAAGTGCCAGAGCCTTTCGCCCGTGGGGTTTTCCTGCGGGTCCAGGAGCTGAGTTGGACCTTTCCACCCTCTTGCAGGCAGGGGTGGGATTTGTGATGGCTCTGTGGATGTTTTGGAAGTGGTTTTAGCAGAAGGGAGAGCTGGAGCAGAGGGCTGCAACTTGTAATGGCACAGATAACTTTTCTTCTCTCTGTCCCCTTTCCTCCCTGCAGAAGAAGGCGGAGGCTGCCCACCGGATCCTGGAAGGACTGGGTCCCCAGGTGGAGCTGGTGAGTGTTACCTCTGGCTGTGGGGAGCGGGACCTGGGCCAGGTTTGGAGAGGTTCCTGGGCGGTGAGCGATCGCGGCACCCTGTGTGTGTGTCTGTCTGTCAGAAGGAAGCCTGCTGCTGGCCTGGACCTCTCGCTGGCACAGCACCAAGGCAGGAAGCAAAGTGACTGAGATGAGTACTGAAACACAGGCAGACACACACACAGAGCCCTCCTCAGAGAGCCTTAACCCTTTGGCTCCTTCCTCGTGTGCTGCAGAGGAGCTGGAGGGTGGAAGGGGCTCCAGCACAGTTTGCCTCCACTCGGGATGCTGATGGCTTTGTCTGCTGGTGGAAGCCACAGCACTGGGGCTGTGGGGCTGCTGTCTGGGCAGCCAACCTCGAGGTGCTGTGTGGAGGGATGGGTGCTTGGATTCTCCTCTGTCCCACCCACTGTAAAGGGAGGAGGGTGCTGGAGGGTGCTCTCTGAGCACAGCTTGGCCACAGCTGTGATGACCTGCAGGTATCAGGACTCGCACGCTTCCTATTTCAGTCTCTCTCATGCACAGGGAATCTGAGAACAACTTAGAATAAATTGCCAATTTTGGGCTACCCCCTCATCCAGCAAAATCTATCTGTAAGTCAAAGGACTGATTGGTGGAGGGGTGGCTGGAAACAACCCCTGAGGGGCTGAGTCCTGGCGAAGGGTGCCTGGAAAAGGTGCGTTGGCAGCAGTGCTGGCGGAAGGATTGGACCCAGCCCGACAGAGCATCTCCTGCTTTGCACCAGCCATGGGATGCAGTGGAGGGAGCCATTCCTGTGAGGTAGGAGCAGGCAGCGCACAGGCCTCTGCATCTGTAATTTGGACTTGCCTTGTGGAGGTGGTACTAATCGCTGGCTTCCCTGGTGCGTAAGGGAGAGGTCACAGGGGAATTACTGTACGTGTCAAAGCCCACTTCCTTGTTGGGGAGGTAACACTCATTATTTTTCCTCTGAGTCACCAGGGTCAAACCCTTTGCTCTTTCTGCTCTGAAGATTGGCAGTGCCTGGGATTGGTGCTTCCTCATCTAAAAGACATTGGATCTCCTTTCCTTCCTCCTCCTGTTTGGTTTTTTCCTCCCGTTTTTTCTTTTTTCAGTTTGTTGATGCTTTGTCCGTGGGTGCTGACACTGCACAGGAGAGCTGTAGCAGAGCCCAGTGCAAACCTTTCCACTGTCGCCCTCCCTTACTCCTTGGAGGGCAGGGGAAAAGAGGAAACCTCTCTGAGAAAACCCTACAAAGCTGAGCTCTGTGTGCATCTTGCAGACTGTCTCATCTGTCTGCCCAGAGAGAGACAGCTCCTATGGCCCAGCCCATGCGCCATGTCGGGCACAGCAGCACTGGGAGCTGCCAACAGCCTGCAAGAGACAAGATGAATAATCAGATCTTTTCCTGAGTTGGAAAGGAAGCAGCTCCAGGAAGGAGAGCAGCTCTGCACTCTCTGCCCGATGCACCCGCCTGCTCCACAGTGTCACACACCACGTGCACCAGCCCTGGGGCTGCCACAAGCCTGGGAGTCTCCTGAAGGGAGGTTGAGCATCCTGGTGTCAGTCCAGTCTCTGCAAGGAGAGGTGTGGCTGTCACTGAAACACAGGGTCATGTGTTGCTGTGGGCTCTGCTTGGGTGCCTTGCTCTGGTTGTTCAGAGAGCTGTAGTTGGTGCATTTTGAGCGGCGATGGTGCCAGATGTCACTGGCTCGGTGACAGCGTGATGGGGCTGATGGGGGGAGATGAGAGGTCGCAGTAGGAATCGGTCAGTCATGGCAGAGAGGCAGGAGGTCACTGGGTCCTGAGTGCTGCTGGCAGGATGGAGCTGGAGGCCCAGGAATTCCCAGGAAGCAGGGATCCAGTTCAGGTCTTGGGAAGCTTCCATCTATGTCAGGAGGAGATTGAGTCAGTAAACCAGGACTCCGCTCGTTTCATCCCTCCAGTGTAGCGGTACCATTTAAAAAATGACCCCATGTTTTCCCCAGGGAGAAATGTCTTTGAGATATGTTGTCTGAACCCTGCAGTGGCCAGAAAGCAATTGAAACCTTTTGTTCTGTTTTATTTCTAAAGAGCTTTCAGTAAATCCAGGGCTTTCCCAATAATAGCTTTGCATTGCAATTATGTTTTTCTTAAATGTCATTCCCCAGAGAAATTTATTACATGTCCCTAACTCTAGAAAAGCACTGTGGATGTTTTGAACATGTCCCTTTACCCATCTGACCTGTCAGCTTTACTTCTCCTTACGCAGTGAGAAAGGTGGAATTCTGTGCAGATTGCAGATGGCTCTGAGGGAAGATGCTGTTTTACAGCATGCTGAGAATAAAGTTTCTTTAACTATTTAATCTGTGAGGATAAGTTCCCTCTGGGTAGGTAGAACTTGTCTCCTGGGCTTCCTCCATTGCATGGGTTGAGTTAGGGTGCTGAGGCTGTTGTGCAGACAGAAATCTCTTTGAGATGCTGGTGTCATATGGATCTTGTGTTTGGGTCCCAGAGTTCCTTGTTTCTGAGTGTTTGGGCATTTCTTTTAAAGTGATGTGTTCCAGTGCTTGTCTGCTAACACTTACATTTTCTTACTAAGAATTAAGTGGCTGTTTATATCATAGATAGGTTGTAATGGAAAGGAATAATCAGCTTTTGGTGAGTTGGGTGGCATCAGGGCATTCCTACTGTGCATGTGCACATGAGCATCTTCTAACCCAGGTCCAAACCAAAATGTTAATTCTACTGCTTCTCCCAGGAGGAAGGTCTCTGTGACCTGCCATATGCCAGCTTCTTTGCTTCAATTTTGATGAGCAAAAAGGGAAGAGAAACACTTTTATTTATCAGTATTTCCAGTTCCTGCATTCTTCTTCCAAGAGACAGTCACTGGTCAAGGCCACCCAGCGGTTCCTCCAGTCAAGCCTTTCCAGGGTGACTGTGGACGTGATGCTCTGGAGCTGTGGCTCGATTTCTTCTCTCCCTGGTGCAGACCTGCCTCCCTCGAGCTACGTGATGAGACGGATGTCTGTGTTCCTCTGAGCTTTCCAAGCGTGAAGTGCACAGCCAGCTCTGAGCCTGGAGTCAAACCAGCAGCTCTGAGAGGATTCACGGTAGAAACGCCCCTGGGGAAGGGACACCACTGAGAACATCTCCTTCAGCAGAACCTGCTTGTCCCTCTCATCTGCACTGGCTCTGCCAGCACGGGGTGGCCAGGTGTCTCCTGGCAGACTTGCAGCCTGTTGTCCCCTCACCAGGTAACAGATGCCCGGATGCTGCCGTCGGCCCCGCATCCCTCCTGGAACACGGCGGCTCATCTCACTGTGTCTTTCTGCCTGGGGATTACGTGCCTCTTCTGTGCCCCTTCCGCCTGGGGATTACGTGTGCTTTCCCAGCGAGGAGGGACGTGTCCAAGGGCAGCCAGAAAAAGGAGCTGATGACTTGTTGGTGCCAAGATGCAGCAAGGATGGGCTGCAGAGAGTAGGGAGAGCTACACCCAGTCTGCGTTCTGTGCGGATCAATGTTGCTGTCCCAGTGTGTGGCAGGGGAGAAGTGAGGCAGTATCTGTTTTAAAGAGCAGTAGAGACAGGCTGGCTGTGTGGAAAAACAGGCTTCTGTGCCAAGCACCGATGATGGTGATGGGCAGATACCATGTAGGAAGTAAGAGTGACACCTTCTTCGAAATGGAGGAGAAAGGAACCCACCTCTGTTTGCAGGTCCTGTCCTCTGTGCTGCTCACCTGATTGAGCAGATGCTCAGCAGATGTTTTGCGCTTTTCCTGTGTTTAATCTGAGATGAAATCAAGTGGACCCTGAGTGTAGTCTCAGCCCCGTGACCACAGTAGGAGGGTGAGCTGGTGTGTCAGTATCCATGGCCAGGATGCTGCCTTCAGCCAGGAATTGGATGTCACACGTCCCTATGCCTGTGTTTGGCCACAGATGTTGTATGCTCACAGCTGGTTTGGGGAAGGTTTGTGGATGAATTGCCTGAGTACTTGCATGATGTTTCTGTGGTTGGACCTGAACTGTGGTCATTAGGTGCCCAGTTGCTGGTGATGGTTGGACCATGACAAGCTTTGCGTTAGCCCAGTCTTGGACATATTCACAGCAGCTTAGACAGTGACTAGAAGTGTTGAAGGCCTTAATCCTGAGCATCTTGTCAGTCTGCTGATGTGGACACAACTGATGGCAGGTCCTGGAGTGTGGCCTGAGCTGTTAATCACAGTGGGTGGAATTGAGTGTGGTCTCTGTGATATCTCTCCCTTCCAGAGGTGGGACCCTGTATCGTGGCAGGTTCCCAAGGATACATCACCCTGCAGATGGGAAAGGAGAGGTAGCAGGGGCAGTGACCACCTGAAGGTGACAAGGGATGGATCCAGCTCTCCTGACTCCCCATGGAAGTCCCCGGCACTGAGGATGTGGGGGACAGAGCAGCCCCATGAGGGGTGCTCACACCTGGTGTTGGAGACAGCCACAATCACTGGGCTCTCCAAGGGGCAACCCTGGGAAAAACACTTGTCCTCTGGAGCCCAGTTGCCTCTCCTGAGGGACAGACCATCACTGCTCTACATATGGATGCTAGGGGACTGTGGGACATGCGGCAGGGGCCAACCCACCCCTGGAATTGCTGGAAACCCCAGGGGTGAACGCTTGTCCTGCCTGCAGTTGCCTGCGCTTGGCTCCCAGGGAGGGCTCAGGCAGGCTTTTGCCGCGTAGACATAACAACTTGCAGCACACAGACTGTCTCTTCCCGCTCCCCAAGCCCCCCTTTCCCCTCGCCTCCCCCGTGTCATATGTTCCGAGGCGCACTGCGTTTTCAGTCGGTGAATAACAGCCACGTCCTCGCCGTGCCGTGTTTATCTGGACGACGTCGCAAATTGCTTGTTCTGAGCCAGCTCTCTCGAGCACTGCCTGCCCTCCCACAGGCTGAGCCGGGATGCACCGGGACTCGAGCGGCGCTGCGGGGAGCCAGCACCCTCCAGTACAGCCAGGAGCAGGGCTGGGGACACGGGGACGGTCGCCTGGGCTGGGAACCTGCACCGAGGCGGCAGCGCTTCTGATGGGTTTAAGTTTCTAAATGTCAGACTGTACCTTTTATACCTTTTCATTTTTCTTATTTATTTCAGCCATTATACAACCAGCCTTCAGACACCAGGCAGTACCATGAAAACATTAAAATGTAAGTATGTGGCAATAAAGCTGTTTTAAATGTCAGGTTGGGCATTAGGCTGGAGCGGGAGGGATGCCAGCTCACTCCCAGACCTGGATTAAAACTGCCGAGGAATTGTAAGCATCCTATCAGAGCAGCTCCAGGAGCCCAGCAGTCGGGAGCTGTAGCTTCAGGCGGATGCTGAAGGTGCTGTTTGATTTTTCTCAGGGGGTGGATGCAGGTCCTGGCCAGTCCCTTGATGCTTTCCCAGAGAACGCTCACCTTGAGCGCTTTCTTCTGTATTTCACCAAGACTGAAGTACAAAATCAGCTGCCAGCATGTGTGTGTGTGTGTGTGTGTGTGTGTGTTTGCATGCAAGAAAGATGAGGTAAAATGGAAAGTTGCAATTACAATTAGATTTTCATGAAGGACCTCTTGAATGTCTAATAACAACTGGTTGTTTCAAAGATACTTACTGAGACTTAGCAATCATCTAATTTGACTTATCACCTCAATACATGATTTAATCATCAGCGTGCGTTTAATAACCACAGTGACTTCCTGAACATAGAAGAAATGGAACAGATAAAGAGAATAGCGATAATTGTGATTATTGTTGGAAATTTAAATAGTCAAACCAGATCTGAAACTTTTTATCTGCCTTGAATGAACTGATGATTGCTCTGAGCTGCCTGCAGCATGTCTATTTTGGTACGGGCTCGGTCAGCTGGTGATAATCATCTTTAATAATCTATTAACAAAAGTTAATAATCTCTTGCTTTTCAGCGGTATGTTAATTGATCCCAGGGAATTATAGGGGAAGAGTTCCTGTACCTTTGCTCTAGGGGAGCGTGGTGGGAGCTGGTGGTGTTTAGGGGCTGTCTTGTCCCCAAGGGCTGCAGTGAGGAGGGTTTGGTGACGTGACCTGCTTGCTGCCTGGCCCCGCTTCGTTCCTGCTCCACCCAAGGCTTCCTGGATCATCCCGGCAATGCACTCGCTGTAAAACATTCAAACCCAGCAGCACCCCCAGCCCCTCGGTTCCCATGGGGCTCAGGGGGTGCCTGTCAGTTCAGTGGGCTGACAAATGATAAAGCATCTTGTGCAGCACCAGGTGCTTGCCCAAGGACGTGTTCTCTGTGTTGTTGGTTGTGTCTCACCCCTGGCACTGATGGTGTGTGGGAGTCACCAGCTCTTGGGGACCTTCTCTTGCCTTGAAGGGCCCTGTAGCCATCCTGATCCAGGCACAGAAGGTGGCAATTTCAAGCTGATTGCAAGTTTTGTCCTTGAAAGAACGAGTTAAAAAGTAGATCCAGATACTTCACCCACTCTCAATTCCGCTGCCAATATTTGTGGGTTTGTGATCACATTTTCCTGTGATTTAAACAATTTCCTGTCCTGGGTTGCTGCCTGAAAGACAGAGGCAGCAAACAAGAGGGAACTGACTGTGCAGGTCAGGAGTGAAACTGTTGACAAGAGGTGAAGCCCAGTCAAACCAGCTTCCAGTGCCATGGGAGCACGTGCTCCCTTCCATCCCTGCCTCTGTAGGCATCCATAGGGTTATCCCCACCCCGGGCAGCAGCAGTCCCTGTAGTGGTGGTGGTGACAGACCAAGGAGAGGTTGGAGCAGGCAGGCTTGGGGTTAATGTTCTCTGTGATTAATGCTGCAAAAATACGGGAAGGAAACCACACATTTTAATGAAAAGCCTCCGTCTCCTCCTTCCAGAAACCTGGCAATTAGCTGCCTTCAGCTGGTTATTGATGCCAGCCGAGTGCAGTTACAGATCTAGGTCAGAGAAAGGCCCCTGAGCAATCTGGGCTCCAGATGTTGGCTGCTTTTGGGCATGGGTCTGCCTCAGAGGTCCTGGGGTCTGATCTGCACTTTGCTACTTGTTGATGGACCTGCAGAGAAATTGGTGTGTCCTTTTTTCCATCCCTGTGTCCCTGCTGCACATTAAAGCACATTTGGATGCTTGGGAGGCAGATAGGAAATCAAGATTTCAGTGATTCTTCCAAGCAAATAATTCAGGGTCCTTTGACCAAGAGGAAAAGATACTAAACTTCCCTGTTTTGACAAATTCATGCTTGGATGTTCACATATATGTAACTATATACAACTGTATAGCTATATATAACTATATATACAACTATAACTTTTCCATGGGATGCATTTGAAGTTATTTTTTGTCTTTCCCTTGTTCTTAATATGTTTATGCCTTTCTGCTTCAGAAGAGCAGCTTCTGCTCCATAGCCTGGAGGTGGCTGTTTCCATAGGAGATGGAGGAAATCCTCAGGGTGCTGGGAGTCACCAGCCAGATGCATTAGAGCACCAGGACAGCTGCCAGGACACCACAGGTTATATTTTGCCAAGGTGTAATTGGATGCAGATTCTTCTGAACGGCTTCACCCTATGCAGACTTAGCCATGATGAAAAAGCCTTTTGGCAGATTGCTGGAGAATCATCTGGGGTTTGATTCTGTCCACAAACCCTCATTGCATCCTGGCTGCGTTTTGCCAAGTGGAAACTGCTGCCACGTGAAGGTGGTTTTGGAGCCTTATACCTGGGCACAAGATGGCCAGGCTGTTAACTATCACAAATACTTTTTATAGGTTGGGGTTTTTTTTTTCTTAATGTTTCCTGGTGTGGATTTTTTTTTCTCAGTTGAATGTTTGCAAATGTCAGTGGGAAGGCATTTGAATATCACAAAGCCAGGATTCCTCGATTTCTTCACAGCCATACTCTCTGCCTTGCAACACTCATTTAATTCTCCCTTCTTGTTTGCTTTGCTTTTCAGTTGGGATGAGTCACATATGCTAATAGAGCTGACTGGGGAGTTACCGGCAGAATTTCTGCTCTTACTAAAATGTTACCGGTCTCTTATTTTCATGGAGTTTTATGGCCTGTCTCCTATTCAGTACAGTTAAAATTAATTTCATGCCCCAGTTCATTCCAGTGTTTGCAGCTTCAAAAGCTTTTAAGTCCTATTTAGCTGCCTGGCTGTGCTCTGTTACCCGTCTGCGCGGTCCCTTCGGTTCACCTGTGAGTGCAGGCTTCGAGCAAACATGGTTAATTTTGTATGCTACATCTGCCACGGGATCCAAGGCACCCTTGAGTGGTTTGTTCCAAAGACTTGACCTACCTTTGATGGGACTGTGTCCTTTCTGTTTGAAATACCTGCTCTGTCGGAGGGAAGGGCTCTGCCACTCTCTCATCAGGAAAGAAGAGAGCAAGACGATGTTTAGTGCCCTCATTTCCTAGGGATGGGGTGATCTTTGCCCCTGTAGCTGGCTTGGCCCTGGCTGTTTTTCAAGGTGAAAATTTTTTGGCTTTGCAACAGACCAACAAGTTCCTTCAAGATGAGTCACAGCCCTGAACACAACTGGAGACCACTTGAGTAATTCTGCATCAGTTGAGGAGGTTACAAAGACCCTTTTTTTTACATTTTGATGAAATACAACAAATGCAGAAGGCACTGACTGGTGCACCAGTGAAGCCCCAGTGCATCTGGTCAAGGTCTCTTATTTCAGTGCTTTGCCAGATGGATGTGCAAGGATGAGAGATGCCCTTCCTGCCCTGCCACAGTAGTGACTTCACGTATTCCCCAGACTCCTGGCTCCAAAGATATTAACCTTCTTTCCTCCAAGTGTTTGAAAAATGACAAGATGTTGTTCACATGAGCAGGATCAATTACCTGCTGTCTGTTTGGAGAGATAGTCTCCAAGGGGGCCTTCGTCTCTACGGCGGGAGATTCCTGCTCAGTCAGCCATGAAAAACAGCCTGGTAGGACTCTCCTCCCCCCTTTCCCAAAGCAGTCATCTTGCAATCATCTTCTGTGAGATTTGTATTTGAAAGCAAAATGTGAGCTTCTGAGCCTTGAAAAAGCACACAAAAGGAAAAGTGAAGAGCCCAGGGTAAGTATGTGCAAGGTGCTGTTCACAGGGTTTGCTTTAAACCTTCCCTTTGAGAGCTTCTCCTTGCTGTTGCATTGAAATTCAGGAACATCAGGGTGAAACCAGGCTGCATCCCCTTGAGATGCTTGGAGAGGTGTTGGAGAACCAGGGTCTGAGTGTAAAGTTAAAACAGATTGAGAGCTTGGTGTGATTTGGGTTTTCTCATGTGTCCGGATCCAGTGGCAGCAGCGCTGAGCGTACTGTTAATATTTGCACATTTGGATTGCTGTCTGTAGCTGAGAGCTTCTCAGGGAGAGGGGGGGAACTTTGCCTCTGCAGGATCAAAATCTGAAGTCAGGATTTTAAGAGAGGTTTCAGGGCTTCTGAATATCTTTTTTGTTTTCTAAATGCCCCCCCCAAAAGAGCAGAACAGCTTTCTTCTGAAAGTCTCACAACTGTGGCTTTCAAAAGCACTTGTCACGTTGGGAAATTTAACATCTTTTCATTACTTGCTGTTTAGGGGATTTAGTAGCACTGGATTGCCTCTAAATTCATAGTTGAAGCCTGACATGTAACACAAATGTTCTTTCAAACCCTGTCATTACTAATGCATTCTCTTTCAGGTCTTTTTATTAGTGCTTGTAGACATTTTCCTCATTAGAAATTCACCTAGCAGCTCCCCGCTCATCCCATTCAAGGTTTCTCATCTCTTTTATTCTCTATTGGCATGCACCAAGGCAGCAGCATTACCTGATGATGAATTACTAAATGATGGAGACACACACTGCAACCTTCTGCTTCTTTCTCCTGCCAGTGAAAAGCCAGTACTGGTTTTGGGGAGACTATCTTGCAACATTTGGACTTTCAGTGTTGGGCTTCAGGGGAAGACAGAGGCATAGGACGGGTGCCTGACTGATGACCAGAAGTGCTTCTGCACTTGCATTTGTCTCATTTTGGTCCTGAGCTCATAGGTGCTAAAGGGGATGGGCAGGAATTTCTCATCTGGTGTTAGGAACTGTGGTTGTGGATGTAACTGCTGCCCAAGGGATCATTTGAGCACCTTCACAAGGAGATGGCTCAGGGACAGGGCATGCAGTGCTGGGGGTCTGGCCAGTGCAAGGTGCCCGTGTTTGCCAAGGCAT